ATGTTGGGGTAATGTTGAACTGGCCAATGATAATTCCTCTTTCCGGAGAGCTTGGTTTATCTTCCATGAATTTGGAGCATTACCGTATTTTTCGCACCATAGGGCGCACTGGACTATAGGGCGCACCCTGTTTTTAGGGGGGGAAATCAAGAAAAAAACCTCCCCCCCAGCCCCAAAGAGCAGCGTACAGGCTGCGCACAACCTCTCCCTGCCGGAGGGGTTGCGCGCAGCTATGGATTGCGCGCAGCTATGGATCCCGCTCGCTGTTTTGGCTTCCCCTTTAGCCCCGTGCAGCCTCCCCCTCCCGGGAGAGGCTGCGTGGGGCTAAAGAATCCATAGCCCTGTGCAGCCTCTCCTTGCCGGAGGGGCTGCGCGCAGCTATGGAGCAAGCCAAGGCAGGGGGCGGGATGGATCCCGCTCGCTGTTTTGGCTTCCCCTTTAGCCCCACGCAGCCTCCCACTCCCGGGAGAGGCTGCGTGGGGCTAAAGAATCCATAGCCCCGTGCAGCCTCTCTTTGCCAGAGGGGTTGCGCGCAGCTATGGAGCAAGCCAGGGCAGGGGGCGGGATGGATCCCGCTCGCTGTTTTGGCTTCTCCTTTAGCCCCGTGCAGCCTCTCCTTGCCGGGAGACGCTGCGCAGGGCTTTCCTGGCAGGTGGGGGGATTCCCCCACCTCCCGCAAAACCGGCAGAAGCCGCGCACACTTTAAAAGGGCTGCACGGCTTCTTCTGGCTTTTCTGGGAGGTGGGGGGATTCTCTCACCTCTCGCAAAAGCCCGCAGAAGCCGCGCAACCCCTTTAAAGAGATCGCGGCTTCTCCTGGCTTTTCTGGGAGGTGGGAGAAGGGACTGATGCGGCCAGTCAGTCCCTTCTCCCTCCTGTGGAAAAGCCCGCAAGAGCGCACGGAGCTTGTGTGCGGCTCTTGGGGGCTTTTCCCGCCTGCCTCCCCCTGCATTCGCTCCATAGGACGCACACACATTTTCCCTTGCTTTTTAGGAGGGAAAAAGTGCATCCTATGGTGCGAAAAATACGGTAAGTCCAGGATGTTGAGCCCCTCCCCCCCAACCCCTCTTTCTTGTCCGTGCTGCAAACAACAGAAAATGCATCAAGGCAAAATTTGTGAACTTTCATCCCTCTCTAATCAAGCGTGCTGCTTACGAGGCAAGTCCAAGCCCCAGAACAATACAGCATGAGAGAAATTCTGGAACTTTCAGCAAAGCACTGCCAAAGTGCTAACTGACACCCTTTTCAAGTTTATTTCGATTACTGAAAAAGGTTTTGCAAAAAGAAAAAAAGGACCGGGTTTAGGGAAACGTCCTACAGTGGAAAGCAAACTCTGATTTGGCCCCAACAACCATTTCCAACATTTCTCCTTTTGTGGAGAAATGGCAGAGGAGGAAGTTTCCCAAGGGAATTCGTTTTTACAAGGCTATTTGCTATGGTTACTAAAAAGAAATTAACTTTTCAAATAGCTTGTGTGTTGTTGTTTTCACTCCAAGTCAAGGACAGAGAAAGCAAAGCATGTTGTCTAGTGTTCCCCTCCCCTGGAATGGTGAACAAAATATTGGGTTACGTACAAGGGGAAGTATTTTCTGATCGGGGAAAACTGGTCGTGCGAATAGAGGCCTAAACAACTGTGCACATGGATAAGCTCAGGGGGGAGGGAGTTATTGTAACAATGTGATATTGTTATTTTAGCTAGCACTATTAAGAATTTTAGGGACGCGGGTGGCGCTGTGGGTTAAAGCCTCAGCACCTAGGACTTGCCGATCGAAAGGTCGGCGGTTCGAATCCCCGCGGTGGGGTGCGCTCCCGTCGTTTGGTCCCAGCGCCTGCCAACCTAGCAGTTTGAAAGCACCTTCGGGTGCAAGTAGATAAATAGGGACCGCTTACCAGCGGGAAGGTAAACGGTGTTCCGTGTGCTGCGCTGGCTCGGCAGATGCAGCTTGTCACGCTGGCCACGTGACCCGGAAGTGTCTGCGGACAGCGCTGGCTCCCGGCCTATAGAGTGAGATGAGCGCACAACCCTAGAGTCTGTCAAGACTGGCCCGTACGGGCAGGGGTACCTTTACCTTTACTATTAAGAATTTATGGCTTCTGAAGCATAGGAATTATCTTTTTAGGCCAGATCGAAATTCAATTCTCATTCTAAGGACCAGTAACAAATCTGCAGGGTGAAAAAGTCATCACATATATAGCAGTCAATATCAACCAATGTTGTTGACGATTCTTTCTCCATTCTTTCCATAGCACAAAGAGCAAGTCCTTTCCCCATCTCCAATAATATAACCCCTAACATGTATCAAGGGAAATAAGAATGGGGTTTATAATTAACTTTCAGGAATTCTGGCACTTTATTCATACTGCATGTTTTAATATTTATTTCTATTGTTTTTATACTGTAACCTGCAATGAGCCTTTGCAATGGGGGATTATAAAACACTTAAAAATGATCCTCTAATTTACTTCTAAACAGAGCCTTGTTTCATTTCTCTCTATATAATTCTGATTGCACACTTGATTCAACACTTGGATGGCTGACAGCTTAAGATCCCTTTTTCTTCCCCACCCGAACAGTGAAGATATTTTATTAAATCACCACCGTTCTAGAGTGTATATGAGTCAAAAGGTTAAGATTGGCTTATTATTTTATAACAATTACGCTTGATAGCTAATGGAGTTTCTGTATGCAAATGCATACAGTGAAAAAACACATTATTTAAATTCCAGCTAAAATTAGGGTGGCAAATCATGCATCGTCAAAAAAGAAGGCTAAAAGGGGAGATTTGCATAACATCTGCATATCCTGACTGGTATGGATGTAGATTTAGAATTATGAAACTGTAAACAGAGCTCACCAAAAGTGAGGAAGACTGCAGCTGGCTCATTCTGTTGTCCAGCTGGAAACTGGTCTCTCCTGCCTTTCGTTCTTATGGTTCCTTATCTTTAAGCCAGGCAAAAAGGCTGAACATGTCCTCTGACATAGAATATATGGATGGCCACACTAGATGAAACAAGGTATACATTGCTTAACAGGCACAACCTGTGCTTATGGTCACCTTTTCAATATTGACTCAGCTTTGACACCAGAGACTTTTGGATCAGATTTTTGAATGCCCAAGTCGACAGGATTACTATATTTTTCGCTCTGTGACGCACCCAATCATAAGACGCACCCAGTTTTTAGAGGAAAACAAGAGAAAAAAAAATTCTGAATCTGAGGCCCCTCCTTGCGCTATGCATTCGAGCGCTCCTGAGCCTTGCCAGGGGCTGCCGCTGCTGCTTCCAGCATGTCAAGGGGCTTACGAGGAATAGAGCCAGGCACCGGCTTGGGGGGCAGCCAGGCTCTCAGGAAGGCTCAAGAGAAGCCCGAGGCAGCTGGGGGAAAGAAGAAGAGGAGGAAGGCGGAGGGAGAATCAGGTTAAGGAGCCACCGGTCCATCCGCCCGTTTGGGGAAGCTGGATCTGTTGGCCGCCTAGCAGGGTTGTCCCTGCAGGGGGGATCGAAGGAGGCAGGTGAGACGAAGCGACACTCTTCAGCGAAGCGGGAGGAGGAAAGGAAGGGAGCCCTGACGGAGCCCCTTCCTTTCCTCCTCCCACTTTGCTGAGTGTGATGGCCTGGGAATCCGATTCAGAGAGTGAATCGGAGGAACCCCAGCCTGCACAGGAGTCCCCGCCTCCAGGGCCGGCTGAACTGGGGCAGGGCCTTGATTCTGAGGAGCCTGCACCTGTGCCGGATCCTCAGGAGCAGGCACCAGGTGAATCCATTCTGGCTCCAGAGGTGGTTGAGGACTCAGTGCCTACAGGTGAGTCTCCCCCTGGGCCCAGTAACCCTCCAGCCTCTCCTGAGCTGCAGAGGCTCAGGGCAGAGAGGCGAAGGGAACTGGTTTCTCCCAGGAGGAGTGCTCGCCTTAAGGCCAGGAGAGGCGGGGCTCCTGGGGGCCGGGACCGCCCCTGGCCTCAGAGAAGATAAAGGCCAGTCAGCCCGGTCCCAGGTTGCGGGAGCAACGTCGTCATTGAAGAGCTGTTTCGGCCAGCATCCAGTCCTGTTCCTTCAGTGTTCCTGTCCTTGCCCGGCTCCTCCCTGTGGACCCCGCTTCGCCTGTGGAGGACTGTCTGCCGACCCTCGACTCAGGCCCTGGACCTCACCCCATGGTAACCTCCCCCCGGGACCAGCACACTGAGGAGGCGCAAGAGCAGAGCAAGAGGGAGAGCTGCGCGGCACCTCATGGTCTGCTGGCTTCCCAGCGAAGCAGGATGAGGGACGGAAGGCCTCTGTAAGGGCTCCCTTCCGTCCCTCCTCCTGCTTCGCTGGGAAGCCAGCACAACAAGAGGCGCTGCGCAGCTCTCCCTCTTGCTCTGCTGGCTTCAGCGATAGCTGCGCAGCCTGCACTCTCTCCATAAGACGCACACACATTTCCCCTTACTTTTTAGGAGGGAAAAAGTGCGTCTTATGGAGCGAAAAATACGGTAAGCCAATCTTCATTAAAATGAAAATGTCAATAAACCAAAGATAATTCTTTGAGAGCCATGCTCAAGATGGAATTGGACCAGAGATTTTGAAGGCTGAGCTAACTCCTAACAAGAATACAAAATGCAAAACGGTTATTTACACCTGCTCAGGTCGGTAAATATATTGAAGTTCGGGACACAGCAGCAGCCAGGCAATGTTGGGCTACACACTAGTCTTGTGTTTCCCGGAGCTTCTGAAATGCTGTTCAAGGTAGACAGCTGTTTAAATTCAGCCACTGTGAGAATCTGGTTTTGATAGCTCTTAATTAGCCCCCACCCCCTGAAACAATATCTACTTGTAGTATTTGCCCTTTAGAGTTCCATGGATTAAAGGCTTAGAAATATTGGCCATACGTTATTGGGCTGATTTCCAAATTGTCAAGACAGAGAGCTGACTTGTGACTCGTGGTTTGCCAATAAGATTGCACACTAAGCTCTGTGAACTGAGATGGCAAAGAAGTGAAGCCAGGAAACCTGTTCCTTTTTGTTACAGAAATTTCCGGTGTCTAGAACAACCGACTTACTGTACTAACCAAGTGGCTGAACTGGTTCAAGAGAACAGCTATACATGCTATGGAACTACAACATTGACTCTCCATATCTGAAAGGCACCTCATTTTTTATTTCCACTTTATAAAGTGCACAGACAAGATAACAACTTCCATTCTAGCCGAACATCTAAATCTGTGTGAGAATCAGAACTGAGCAAAAGACCAAAACTGGCATGTATGGATGTCCCTTGGCAAGACTGCAATACTTGGACGTGATCTATTACCAGCATACAGCTTTGAAACATGGAGACAATAATTTAAACAGAGGAGTTGTGTGTGTTTTTTGCCTAGAATTAATTTTCATTAGCTTGTTTTGTGCTGGTGAACTCTGTGGGAATTGGTGGAAAATATAGCAAAGATGTACTCAAATAAACAATAAAGTAGAAAACACATTTTATTATGAATGCTGAGACTGATTAACGAAGCTGAATGGTTATCACTAGGATCAGTGAAAGGGATGATGGGTTACAACAGTGTACATTACTTTCAGTAACAATACACTGAAAATATATTTCATTATTATTATTATTAAAAGAACACCCCCTCCCAAAATATTTCTGCATAGGGAAACAAGAATAAGGATGCCTTTTACTGCATTACACCTTATCCCTGCATCAAATACTCACAGCAACACTTTCACCTGTATGTAACAACAGTGATAAAAATGAAAGCCAGCTTTTGTACATGATTTCCAGAGAAATATTTGCAGAAGTGCTCATGTTCATTGATTATATACAAGTTAGCTTTATCACTCAGCACTTTAATTTTTCTGCCCTCTGCAGCATCTTGGTTGGAGAATATGGTCGAGTTTCTTTTTCCCCACTTTAATGGAAAGTGATAAACAGGCAGTTTTAAGAAAATGCGGCTACCAGCTATTCCTGGAGAAGGAAGTTGACAAGCGCAGTTCTAGGAGACAATATGAACTTTTTAATGGTGCGTCCTTGGAGATATTCGGTCCCCAGCTTACTTTGAACAACCAGTTCACGAACTACTTCTGCATCTCGGGATACTTGTTGAGGTACACCAACTTTTCCACAGGGCTTGTTGTTGATCTGGAAGGGGAAAAGGAGACAGAGATGAGAACTAAAAGGAGATGTCTACAAATGGGCCCTCAAGTTTCTTGTCCATTTACCACTATTTGCTAGATAAATAATTCAGGTATTATTCAGAACTTTCAATCCAATCATTAGACTTCTGTTACCTTGCGTCAGCCTACCTTTTTGTTACTGTATGTTATCACATGTATAAAGGTAAAGGGTAAAGGGACCCCTGACCATTAGGTCCAGTCGTGACCGATTCTGGGGTTGCAGCGCTCATCTTGCTCTTTAGGCAGAGGGAGCCAGCGTTTGTCAGCGTACAGCTTCCGGGTCATGTGGCCAGCATGACTAAGCTGCTTCTGGCAAACCAGAGCAGCGCACGGAAACGCCATTTACCTTCCTGCCGGAGTGGTACCTATTTATCTACTTGCACTGGCGTGCTTTCAAAATCCTAGGTTGGCAGGAGCAGGAACCGAACAATGGGAGCTCACTCCGTCACAGGGATTTGAACAGCCGACCTGCTGATCAGCAAGTCACATGTATAGCCCTGGGCTAATTTAGCCAATCCAGTTGGGTCTGGTTTTAAAAAGAAGTAATGCGTAAAAGGTCAGAGAGGCTGCCTTATAGAATAAATGAATCACAGAACAGAATCACAGAGTTGGATGGCACCACGAGGGTCATCTAGTCCAACTCTCTGCAATACAGGAATCTTTTGCCCAATGTGGGGCTTGAAAACCTACGACCCTGAGATTATATAGCTCTCCCGACTGAACTATATTAGTAGTAATGAGAAGCCAGCTTGGTTCACGTGCCACATTAGAATAACTATGGCTTCATATGAATGAGTAGCATGCTAGTGCGTGCAGATGAAATTATGTGGGCTACACTCCTCCCGCAGTTCTGCTGCAAAACAAACCATGGTTTGGGTTTGTTGTGTCATGAAAACCTAAGTTTGTGCCTTGTCTCTCTCCAGATAAACCACAAGCAGTAAACCTGCTTGTTTCCTGGAAGTCACAGGATTGGGGAGAAGTGGAGTGTCCACTATTTTGGAAGTGTGCACTGGAACACTACCCATTTCAATCAAAGTTAACTAGGGTTTAAACAAGGATTCAATTTGACATAGGAATCAGATCACTAAGTAGACACTGGTTAGTTTTTAAACAAGATCAAACCCCAACTTTTCCTGTTGTACATTATCAATGTATTTTCCAGACAAGTTAAAAGTACCATCTTCAATACATACAGGGCCAACCTGAGTGAAGGCATTATAGGGAAAACAGAAGAGTTTTTACAAAAAAGATGTTACAGAAAAGTGAGAAGGTTAGACACGGGGAGATGAAATCTAAATGGCATAAAATCTGGGGACAAGAGTGCACCTTAGAAGACAGGTTGCATCCAATTCTTCAATCCCAGGCTATTAATATGCCACCAAGGAAGCACCAGTTTTTTAAAAAAATGCAGTGCTAGATGCTATGATGCCCTGCATCTGACGAAGCATGGCAAGAACGCCTGGCACAACAGAAAACCAGATATTTATTTAATTATGTCTGCAGCGCAGAAAGCAAGGGAGGTGACCTGTTTCATGTTGATCCTTGGACAGACACAAATGGAACAACAGAGTGTGATATCAACAGTGACAGAACTACAACTGAATGGGTAAGCAGCATGGCATTAGCCTGAGATATTGACACAAATGTCAAGTTGGGACTTAGAATGTCAGAACACTTGCGGAGCTTGATAAATGCAAAATCTGGAACAAGATACTATTTCACCTGCTGATCTTGATTTGTATACATGAAACTACCGCCACAAATGACAACCCAGTGTCAGCACCCCCTCCCCCCGCAAAAATAACGTGCCTCTACATGACTAAGCAGGCCACTTTCCTGCCCCAAACAGTGGCAACAAAGGTGTGCAATGTGAGCAGGTAAACACAGGACCAGGTATCGGAATACAGTCTCAGCAGAATCTATGCCTTTTTGGGGGGAGGGGGGAATTTGGCAGAGGAATGCCATTTGTAGCAGCAGCTCCGTGTCATGTAGTTCTGCTGTAATTATTTTCATGTCAGACCACGATTAGACTTCTCTAATCGTGTGGGGTTTTGTACCAGCGGAGGAATGCCCCAGGCCCAATCAGGTCCTTTTGTTTCCACACAGTCTCTTGTCACGGCCCAGCTCCCACCCCATGTCTCTGAATCCCATCCTGGATATGGGCCACTTCCACTCCCAAGGTCACATCGACTAGATCTAGGGCTGCTAAAAGGACGGAATGGAGCGCAGTGGTGTTACACAAACTCTCTGCACGCAAACCAAGCTGGCAATAGCTCTCCAGATATGGCTGGGAGAGATTTCTGCCTGGAACCCTGGAGAGCCATTGCCAGCGAGGGCAGGTAATACTAAACCAGGTGGACCAATGTTCTGAGTAGGAGTGACTGACATGAAGGAGGAGTGTTGGTCCTTTGACAGCGACATCACTACTGGTTAACGGTTTGGTGCAGGAACAGGCAAGACTGGGGTGATGTCAGCACACTGGCGGAGCCAATTCTGCACTGGTACGTCCTTGCTACTGCCCAGTCCCCACATGGCCTTGATAAGTGTCAGAAATGCTGCTGCCAGGAGTGGTTCCAGGCTACAGCCCTTCCATGCCAGCTACTCCTGACTCTGTATTAAGGCAGCCAGCTATGACTAATCACGAACTGAACCAACTGGGGAGGCAGGATTAAGGTGAGGGTTTCTGTTCATTTGAAACCTAAGATTCTGCCATTGCTGAGTTTATTTCGAAGACAATCTGCTGGGCCTTAACAGCAGCAAAATTAACCTCCCCCACATACAACCTTCTCCCTGATAGGTGATGCAAGAAATTTTAAAGATTTTACAATCACAACCAAAGGAAGAGTACGTGTTCTTACCAGAACGGAGACTTGCACTATTTCTGGCAGCTGTTCAGACTTTGGGTCCACCGTAGGCCAGGACTGCTGCAATACGTCCATGTGCCAGAGATGATGAGTGCAAAGTTTGTTTTGAGCGTGAGACAAGCCTGAAACACAACATCAATGGATTGCTTGTACTTAAAATGAAACATTTGTTTTCACAGTTTGCTTGCTCCGTTTAAGCACTGCCCAGAGCAGAACCGTTGGGAGTTTGTTTTAGCACAGAACAGCCGACATCCTGTAAGCTGAATGTGTACCAGATTGCGCATCACAAACCAAAGAAAGCAAAATAGCTCTGCTGTCTGAAATTCAAGCAATAGGTTAAGGGAAGATGAGAAAAATAGTCCTATGCTATTCTTAAAGGGCTTAAAAACAGATGGGGTCAGGAGATTTAATAATAATAGTAATAGTAGTAATAATAATCTTATTAGACTTTTTAGCTGCTCGTCACGTGAAGCTTGTCTCCAGGCGACTTACACCACATTTAAAAACAAATATATTTACTTATTTATTGAATTTATATATGCCCTATACCCACAAGTCTCAGTACATTATGGTACAAGATACCATAAAAACAGAAAAAACCACCACCCCTAGAAGCCACAGCACACAAGGAACATGACAAATATATCTATTCATTAAAGCTTAATTTAGGCTACATAACAAATATTTATGGGAGTGAGCCCCAAACATAATGGGACTGTATTCTGAGGAAATATTTACAGGATTGCGCTGCAAGAGATTGTTATGGTACAAAAGAAAACTATAATACTTTCAAAATATAGTCCAGTCAAAGTTAGACACATGCTAATCTTCTGTCCTGCTGAAATGAACTACCTAATGTTAGCCGGCTCATGACCCCAGTCTGTTGGATAAAAAGCTAGATACTCAGCTTTTTGTAAAGCACAGAAATGGTTTTGGACACAGAGTCCTTAGCCTGACACAAAATATTTTTATTTTTTTTGTGGCAGCCAATTTTATTTTAACCACTTGAATATTTTAAACCACCTTTTTTGTAACTCAACCAAGGCAGTGTGCAACACATCAAAACAAAAGCATGATAATATTCATTAGAAACAAGTTCTCTGTGCAGCCACAACACGTGGTCTTCTTTGTGTGGAGTAGTTTTCCAACAATTAAGCAGTCTCAATCGCAAGTGCATGCGTGAAACATTTCAAAGTGTAAAGGAAAGGAATAAGCTGCTTGAACAGTGATTCATTTTTCTTGCTGGCCCTTTCTGGTTAAGACTTTTCCGTTTGTAAATGAGCTCAGTTCTTTCCTAGACATCACATGTTAGATGGGAAAGCAGAAAACATGCAATTATAGGCCACTCCTTATTTTTCTGTTCAACTGGGATTTCTCACAACATAACAAACCCTCCATCCCTCACCTTTCTGAAAAAAATAAGAGATCAGTGACATGGCGAATCCAGATATAT